AAATAATAATAAAAAAACAAACAAAAAGAGAGGAAATCTGGGTCTGCTGGATTTAAGGAGTTACTACTGGCATTGTAAAATGAAGTAGTAAATATATCTGATTTGGGGTTAGGTGAGCTCTGCAGATGCAAGTTCCCAAATGCCTGGGGATGAGCTGTGCCTGGTCCATGCCAGCTGGCACAGCCATGCCATGGAGAACGTCCCTGGCAGTTGAGCAGTGGGGATCCAGCCTGTGGCTGCTTTTGCCCCAGGGTTGGTTGGGGAGGAGAGGGCTTTGCCTCCAGGAAGCAGAGGGAAGAGCAGGAAGCTCACCCCAGCTTTGCCTGCTTGAGAAGTGGAGCCCAGATGACAAGAGAGAGAAGTCAAAGTACGGGTCTTGGCCATCTTTGCCAGCGGGGAGGCACCTGGTCGCCCGGCGAGGTGCCAAGGAGAGGGTGTGGAGGGAGCCCTACCCTGCTCTGGGATGGTGGGCCCTGGGGCAGCTTTCACAAACAAACCAGGGCTTTCCAAAATGGGGAGTAGGAAAAGATGTGCCTCCAAAGAGGGTAAAACCCTTTGGTAAAACCCTTTACCTCCTGGGTAAAGCCCCAGCCTTGAAGTGTGTCCTTGGATTGCTCTCCCCAAGGGAGTGGGTAGGAGGGTGCTTTTGAATATGGACTGTGGTGTAAGCTGTTCAAGCCTGCCCTTTGCCATGGCTGACCCTTGACAGGCTGAGAGAGCTGGAGCTGTTCAGCCTGGAGAAGAGAAGGCTTCAGGGAGAGCTTATAGCGGCCTCCCAGTACCTGAAGGGGCTACAAGAAAGCTGGGGAAGGACTTTTCATAAGGGCAGTGAATGACAAAACAAGGGGAAATGGGTTTAAGCTGAAAGAGGGGAGGTTTAGATTAGATATTAGGAAGAAGTTCTTCACTGTGAGGGTGGTCAGACACTGGAACAGGTTGCCCAAGGAAGTTGTGGATGCTCCTCCCTGGAAGTGTTCAAGGCCAGGTTGGATGAGGCTTTGAGCAACCTGGTCTAGTGGAAGGTGTCCCTGCTGATGATTCCAGCAGGGGGGTTGGAACTGGATGATCTTTAAGGTCCCTTCCAACCCAAACCATTCTATGATTCTATGATCTTAGGCCCTGACTCAGTGCCCAGCCAGGTGGAGGAAATGCCTCCGCAGCCTTCCCCCGCACTGAGGGCCAGCACGGGGCTGGGGTACTGCTGATGCCAAAATGGCAGGACCCACAGTGCCATCCCCTTCTGCTGCACGAGGCAAGATGGGGGCTGAAGCTGAAGGCGGCATCGAGAGGGGCATAGTGCTGGCTCGTGCCTTGTGGCCCAAGGGACAGGGTGAGGGGAGTAGCTGCAGGATGGAAACCCTGCAAGGATCCCCCGCAGCACGGGAAGCCGCCCTGAGTGGAAAAGGGGCTGGTCCTGAGCTGGGAAGGAGGAGAAGAGGGTGGATCGTCTCGCCTGCTGTCAGCCTCCTCGCAGCCTGTCCGGCAGCGCAGGCAGCTGCAGGCAGCTGGGCTTTCCTCTCACCTGTGGGACAGGGAGCCCCGGCCCGCGCTCCCCCTCCACCATGATCCTTTGGCTGTGGCTCTGCTGGGGCTTCTCCACCTCGGTGGGGCAACCCGACTCGGAGCTGATGGCGAGGTACCTGGAAGAGACGCTGATGGCAGACTACAGCATCATGGAGCAAGTAGGTTTTAAGGTGGTTGTCATTTGGGAAAATCTGGTGGCCAGGGTTGGCTTGTCCCCTCTTAACCCTCAGTATCGATGTGCTGGGCAGTCTGCTAACACTGCATTTATCGCACCCGTCCCTGCAGTGTGCCCAAGGCTTCAGCTCAGCTCCGTGGGAGGCTGCTAACGAGCAAGGGAATTATTGGAGGTGTTAAGTCAGGAGACCACCAGCACCGTCCTGTGCTGGGTGCTGCAGCCGGGGGATAGATTCAAAGCTGACACCCCCATAGCTGTGCTAACGAGATGTTTTGCAGGGACAAGGGAGTTAATGCAGTGTCCTGGCTACACGCCAGTCTGAGTAATTCAGAGTATTTCAGGCTCGGAGGAAAGTTTTTCTGCCTATGGTCTCAGTCTTACTGTACTTGATTTTTAACTCGTGCTGGGTGAAAGGAACCACATGAATTTCAGCTTGTAAAATGCTTCTTGACCAGGAGACGGAAAAAAAAAAATCTTCACATGAGGGCTGTTATGTTGTGTTATTGTGTGGCTTAAATTTGCTGGGGAAATGCTGAAAGAGCAATGAACTTCTTGCAAGTTAGCAAGAGAGTTTGGGTGGTGATTTGGGAGGCTGTGATTTAAAAGGCTGAGCTTCACATCTGTGCTCACATCCTTCAGGTCTATAACAGATACCATGTGTAACTTTAGGTCACTTAGGGCATCAATCAGTTATCTAAATTTGATCAGATTTGAGAGGCTCTGTAGTATCTAAGATATGCATGTGGGACTGGCAGATACGATGCAGGACCTATGGAAGACCAGTGCCTTGCTGGAGTCCAGGTGGGATACCCTAGCATGTCTAAAATGTCAGTGAATGCCTGTATTTGGCATCTTCTGCTATACAATAAGTGGGGAGAGTGAGACTCTTCATATGTATTTATACAGGTCTCAGAGTTGGACATTCAGTTGCTCATCCCACCTAGAAGAATCTCTATTCAGAAGTGCCCATGTCTCTCCACTATGAGGACCTGAGCAACTTCATTTTTGGTACTGATTACTGTGAATATATATTCCTTGTTGGGGAATTCAGCCACAAACCAACGTTGTCTGGCAAACCCACCTGTCCAGTTGGAAAATAGTATCTCCACCACTGTCCTGCCAGTGGAGCGGGGATCTGGGAATAGTCATGCATCTGCTTTAGGGGGAAAATCAGTTGTGAAGCTCAACTGGCTCACAGTTCTGAAATGACCTGGCTGATCTTGCTTGAGGCAAACGAGGGTGTTTTCACAGGAGCTGTGTTGTTAGCAGATGAGTGGCAGCAGTAACTTCCAACAGAAAAGCAGTGATGTGTAACTAGAGCTGTTGATCTAGTCCTCTGAGACAACCAGGTCTAGAAGAGTACATCTATCTGTCTTCACTGAACACACAAGCCAGGTGCCTCCCTAGATCAAGATACTCCACTATAAACAAATCTCTAACAGATTCAGGAGAGTAAATGGTTGCATTTAACTGTAACATTCTGGGAGGATCTTCCTACACAAGGGCAAGTACAGACACAGGTCTTTGCTGGATTGTAGTATTTGCAATGAGTGTGGATTACTTGTTGATTTACCCAGTGATTGACCACTCTGCTAAGGTAGTTGACAAGGTTGCTATTTGTTACTGTTGCACTAGAGGTGGTTTTTCTGAACAGCTCTTCACAGGTAGTTAAGTTGCTGTTGCCCAGTTTATTCTCTGTATACCATGTTAAGACTAGCAGATGTCAACAGCTCTGGGGTCACTACTAGCAATTATTAGGCTTTAATGAGTGCTTTGGATAGTTTTAAAGCTAAAGGTTGATGGGAACTTGGGAATTGTTCCATTACATGATGCTGGTGGAGCTGGCTGATTCAAAACAGTTTAATGGACTGATCAGTCCTAAACCCTGAAGCAGTGCTTTGGCAGTAGTCATGAAGTCCTAGCAAACAGAATACTGTTATCTGGTGATCCTTAGCTGCTCACTGATGTCTACTGGTTATGCTCAAGACTTTAGAAGGTAGCTTTCGAAGGAGTGAAGACATACAAAGCCTTCTTATGCAAATAAGGAAGCAAACAAAATGGGTGTGTGATGGGGAAAGGTAAAACCAGTAACCAAAGTTCCAGTTTCACCAATTAGTCAGTAAAAGCTGTTGTGATCATTCCATACAGGACAACAGGTGGATTTATTCCCAAAGGTTACCCTTTAGTAAAATAAGTACTGAGGAGCACTGCTCTCTCATCCCTGCTTCTGCTCCAAGCAGGATCAACTTCACAGACATGTAGGTGCTGTACCTGGGGACATGCTTTAGTGGTGGACTTAGCAATGCTAGGTTTGTGGTTGGACTAGATGATCATAATGGTCTTTTCCAACCAAACTATTTTATGATTCTGTGACATTTGTCTGTCTTGTTCTGAAGAACCTCCATTGTTGGAGATTCTGCAGCCTGTCACAGCAGGCCCCTGAGGTGTTTTACTTGCCTGAGATAACATACTCAGACAGAAAGTTTCTTCCAAAATTTAAACTGCAGAGTTTAAACTCAACTCTCCTCTCCTCTCCACTGAGAATTTCCTGAGGGAGCTGTTTTTCCTTGGTTCTAATTTTACAAGATGTTGGCTAAAATAATGAAGAAGGAAATAGTAAGGATTCTAGCCGAGGAGACTGTTTAATTTCTCCATTGGGCTTTCCTGAGCTTTGCAATGCGTGATATAAACAGACATAAAAACATCTCTTTGGCAAGGAGTGCTGTTATTTCAGTGTAAATCAACAGAAAGGGCAAATCAGGTAAAAAAAAAAAAAAAATCATTGCATTCCTCTGCTCTCTGGAGTTTCACCGACATTTTAAGAAGTCACTTGGCTTCCCTCATTGACAAGAGACTTGTACTCTCTGTTTGGGGAGGGATTTGATTTGGAGATGTTGCTAAGCTGAGGTTTACACCACGCGCAGGGAAGAAGTCAGAGGAGTTGTGAAGGCTGAGACAATGAGTACGATTGCCTTGTTTTAGGTGAAACACTTTGTTTCACAATAAAATCTGCGACTCAGTTTAAATATCTTTATTCCCTTTTTGCACATAACCAGTGCTTTTCTGTCACTGTGCAATAAATCCACAGTACCTGTGGAGAGTTTTTAGGCAACAGATCTGCTATGGAGGTAATAACAATAAAGCTGAAGCTGTAATGTTAATTGACACAAGTCCTCCCTTGGAGCGGGTTCACACATGCAGCAGAATGGAGTTGTGCTTGCTGAGCCCCACCCCGTGGGTGCTCGGTGTTAATCTGGTCACTACTCAAGCTGGAAGCAGCCACACTGTGCTGAGGACAGCCTCAGGTGACAGGACTTGTTGTGCCCTCAGCCCTCTCCCTGACCAGTGTCTGTAACCCATGGTGGGTGCTGAGTGCTCTTGCATGGGTGTAGACCACTTCTGGACTGGGGAACAGGCTTTGGCTTTTACTTACCTGAGGATGTAGATGGGTCCTGCATGGCATTTGATGAGCATTGTGGACCATTTAGCAGTTCTTCTCATCGTGTGCTGTATACCATGAGACAGGGCAAAGATAGTGACACAAGGTCTTTGTGTGACTCTGGGAAGCTATAAGGGAACACTCCTGTGTTTGTTCAAGACATAGTTTGTTCAGCTCGGAGAAGAGGAGACTGAGAGGAGAACTCATCGCAGTCTATAACTTCTTCACAAGGGGAAGAAGAGGGGCAGGCGCTGATCTCTTCTCCCTGATGACCAATGACAGGACCAGGGAAAATGGCAGGAAGATGTGGCAGGGGGCGGGGGGGGGTGGCAAGAGAAAAAAGGG